ATGGAGAAAATGGATAACTCATGGATATGCTTATGGACAGCTACTTCTCATACTGTGAAATGTGTATGTAGAAATGAGCATGCAATAACTCTTCACAGTATATATTGCAGTATAGTAAACAAAAATTGTTTCTACAATTTTTCTTTAAGGTAAAAAAAAGGGGACACCCAGAATGCCAATTAAAAATGACAAGAAATGCTGAAAGTTAAATTTTGTAGAGGTTGACCTTCTTTGACACAGTGGATTGCCTGTGACCAGGCCTTTGGTAAGCATAGCAAGATCTATGCTGTCAGCTTTTATCGTACATAACCCTAGATGCTTGTCTAATCTGAATGAGAAATACTAAGGAAATTGAAAGTGATGTCTTGCACTAACATATATGGATTCTAAAGTGTTCTGTCAATATTAAAGGATAACTACCAATGATGTGACAAAATTAAAGGAACAGAAAATAAAGGTAAATAATTTAAGCAATGTAAGAAATTATATTCTATTTTTTTTAAAAAAAGGAAAATAAAAGAACTTATAAATGATTCTCATGAATCAGGCATGCCAATAAAATGCTCAGTAACTAAAAACTGGGAAAAAAACCCTGAAAATGATATTCTTTGGCCAATGTAATCTTAATTACACATTTTGTTGATTTAATATTGTATTATCATTACAGCTGAAGCAAATGGTGCTATTTGGTTTTGAAGACTACAAATATAATTTCAGATTAATTATTTTTTTATGGGAAACAGTAAACACTATTTTAGAAATATAAAAAAGAAATAATTTGCCAGTGTACATGTTCCAAAGAACAGTCTGCCCCAAATAATTTGGACTGCAAACACACAACTGTGCAACATATTTCATGCATTATCCATTAAATCAAATGTTTAACTAACATTTACTAACAGAGAACCTCCACTGTAAGTGTTTTGGATTATAAACTTTCTTTGGGAATACTGCAATTCATTTTCTATTGGGGAGATTCAAGATTTTTTCCTCCAGCCCAATGATTGCATGATCTAATACACAAATCCTAAATTCCCCTCAGCCCAATTTCTAAAGCTACTAATCTTAAAACAAGGGTTTGTGTGTAACTGAGATAATATGAAGAATTTATGAATTTCCAAAAGCAGTGGATAGCTTAACCAGTCCTCAAATCCTAAGTGTTGGAGAGAAGTCAAAATGTTTTAGTATAATGGCAGCATGTCAAAATATGTCAACAAGCCATCATATTGTGGGGAAAAGAATGACCTTTCAGATCTTTGTGTTTTGGCGGCCAATGAAGCTTTTGGATACTGGGTATGCATTAATAGTTTTCCTAGATACTTGACAAATATAACTCCCATGGTTTCTATTAAGTCAATATTTTAAAATCCCAAACTGTTAGTTGTAGCCACTGTGATAAAAAAGGATGTCTAACCTTCACTTAATAAATCAACTGATAACATTATTACTCAGGTATTCACTAGGTTAACTCAGTCTCTTACATCAATTTGCACTTATGTCTCTGAAATAATGATGCATAGGAATTTCATCTTCAATACTGAAGATGAGATTTTATGTTTATTCTTATGCAGACAGATAGTATTTTTATGAGATGAAATCCAGCTCCAATCGTAATAGTACTTACTACACAGCAAATTATAAAGTTAATTTGCAAGGCAGCACTGAAAACTGCAATTGTATAAATATATAACAATCCACCATTACTTAAAAGAGTACACAAAGTATTCTAACCTTAGTGAGTTGTAATTACACTTTACACAATTTTCTTCTAAATATGCATACTTAGGATCATACTCCAGGAGATCTTTTTATATAAAAAAAATCAAGTGGATAAATAAACACATTCTGACAATTCAGAATACTAGAGTACCGAAATACTTTTTTCTTTTTAAAGTACGCATTCAAAAGTATTAAAAACATTCAGTTTACGATTAAAAATAGATCTCAGTAGATGAAAGGTTTGCTATTTATATTCAAAGAGTACATTCTCCCATTATGAGAAATTATCTAATATCCGTGTCAATGAAGAGATTTTGTTAGTGCATTCTTAAAATGTTGCAAACTATTTTTCTTCAGGTTTTCACTAAATATACAATCTAAGACACTCTAACCTAATGTACAGACAGGAAATATATCCAAACTGAATACATCTTTATATACTGTAAGGTTTTAATGACAGTATAGTTGCTACATAGTAAAGTGTTTGATTATATAAATGCATTCATTTATTAATACAGAATATCAAAAAGGACAATTTTGTAAGTGAATTTAACTACAATGAATTACATTATCATGCACCACTGATACTATGTATTAGATCTGTACAACTCTATGGATTTGTAGCAAAAGCTATTTGAGATGGATAAGTATGCTGTTGGTATATTTTTGAAGAAGTTGAATCTTTTCTTCACCTCACAAAATAACTGTAAAATCCCAGGAAATTATGTATCTGAGGTAAAGAAATACCAACAACGTTCCCAGACCCATTCCAAAGCACTGTGTCGCAAACACTTGGTGCTTCCTGCAAATGTATATATATATATATATATATATATATATATATATATATATATATATATAATATGCCGGCGCCGCGGCATAGCCAGCTGACTCCATCGCTGACTATAGGGGCGAAATTCTGGCCCCCTCAGAGAGGGTGCGCAATCTGGGGGTCCTCCTGGATTCGCGGCTGACGCTGGAAGACCAGTTGTCGGCCGTGACCAGGGGGGCGTTTTATCAGGTACGCCTGATTCACCAGTTGCGGCCTTTTCTGGACCGGGACGCCCTGCGCACAGTCACTCATGCCCTCGTCACCTCCCGCCTGGACTACTGTAATGCTCTCTACATGG